TTATTTTATCTTTTGGTCTCACGAATGCTCCAACCTCTTTCATAGATCGATCACATGAACAAATTATTTTGGAACCTTTTGAACAAGTACGTAGTTGTTTTCATTGATGAAATCTTAGTCTATAGTATAATCTTTGAGGAGCATGAGTAACATCTATAGAAAGTATTGTAAAAATTATAAGATAGTTGCTTTTATTGTAAGTAATCAAAGTGTGAATTTTGGAAGTCAAAAGTTACCTTTTTAAAATATATTGTGTCCTCCAAAGGCATGCACATAGAGTAGGATAAGGTGAAAGTAGTAAAAGATTAGCCAACCTCCAAAGATGCTTCTGAAGTCTGTTCATTTGTAGGCCTTGCTAGATATTTTTGCCATTTTTTTCAATAATTTGTACACATTATTGCCTCATTAATAAGCCTATTAAGAAAAAGTGCCTCATTTCAATAGAAACTGGAATAAAAAATGGCATGTGATAAGTTGATAAAATCACTCATTACTCCTTTAATATTTCAATCATATAATCTCAATCTTCTTTGTATACTTGAAAATGATGCTTTTGACTTTATAATTGGCATGATCTTTCAACAAAATTTTGGTAGGAACCTTCAATATGCAATATATAAATCATGCAAGCTTAGAAGGATAGAATGAGATTACTTTGGACATAATAAAAAGTAACTAACAATTGTACATGCTACAAATATGTAGCAAAATGATTTGTTGGAGAAGCCAATGATTATTTAGAGTGATCATCAACTTGTGCTATATGATTTATATCTAAAAAATATGAAATCACAACATCATTGTTGAGAAGAATAATTTTAGCTCTTCAACATTTAGCTTAAGTATAAATAAAGACAACAATACATCTTGTTAGATACTTTATCATATAGACCAAAATTGAAGCCCAAATTGAATGACAAGGCAGAAGTTACTACCATTAGTAGTGTCATTTCAAACCTAACTAAAAGATTGGAATAGAAGAAAGCTACATATTATAATACTTATTTCAAGATGATTATTGATCAATTAAAGGTAGATAATGTGCAATATCAAGATTATGATCTTAATAATGGCTTACTCTATTTTAAAAAGTAAATTTGTGTACTTGATGATATTATACTTTGGATGCATATACTTCAAGAAAGACATGACATTCCAATATCTAAACATCTAGGCCATCAAAAGATTTTAGAATAAATCTCAATGACATGATTTTGGACAGATTTTTATCATAATATTTAAGCCTTTGTATACTCTTACAAGTTATGTCAATATAACAAAGCATGCAATACAACATCTTCTAAATTATTGCAACCAATTCTACTACTTATGGCAAGTTATTCACATATTACTCTTAAATTATTGCAATCAATCCCAACATGGAGCAAGCCACTTTGCATCTCATTATGTGTTTGTCACAAATGCCTCATAATCACACCATGGTTGCTATCTTTGTAGACCAACTCTTGAAGCAACTTCACTTGGCTGCTTTACACTTTAATATTGATGCTCCAGTACTTCCATGGATCTTCTTTAATACTGTCTTTTATCACCATAAATTACCTTGTGTCATCATTTTAGATAGGGATACATGCTTTAGAAAAAGTTTTTGGCAGGCTTTGTTCAAGCTACTTGGCACATAATTTACTATGTCTATAGCTTTTTATTTTCAAATAGGTAGACAAATGGAATGTGCAAATCAAACCTTGGAAGATATGCTACATGCATTTGTGGCAGTTTATAGTATTGATTAAGATGAATATTTGATGTCCTTGGAATTTACTTATTATGATAGTATTCAAGCAAGTATTAGTTATTTACTATTCTTCTTTAATACTAATTAGCATCCAATTATGGCAAAAATTCTCTATCATATCATTAATACCAATAATCTGACAATAGAAGAATATATATATATTAGCTTATAATAGCCTTGGAAGGGACACAGCACTACCTTCTTACCGCACAAAATCAATAGAAGTAATATGTGAATAATCACTGGCTATATAAGATCTTTTGAGAGGGTGATTATGATTACTTTCCAATGCCAACTTTCTACTTGCTATCTCAATCCAAATTCGTAGCTTAGATCTTTTCATATTTCTGTAGTGATTTTTGATGTTGCATACCATCTTCAGCTTCCACTATATATTTGGATCCATTTAGTCTTCCATGTTTTGCAACTCAAAGAATTTATATTGAGCTAAAGGACTTTTCGGATTGATACCAACTACTACCACCACCACCACTACTAGTTGTGGTCGATGACCAATAAAAGTATGAAGTAGACAACATTTTGGAGTATTGCTACCTTTATTGCAATAATGGATATCTACAACTTTAGTACAAAGTCCTTTGTTAAGGTTATTCCATTCACAATGCAATGTGGAAACTTATACAGAACCTGACTTATTATCAAGAAATAATTTGGAGATAGTATTGAGAGTATAATGAAAATATTTTGTATTAATAAAAGGAGATGAATTGTAACGAGATATAGATAAGATATTTGTATTATTGATACATAGAGATAGGTAGTTGGAGCTATGTTTGAGAAGTTTTTAGAGGTTTTTAGAATTGGAGCTAAGTTGGTGGTTTATGTGGGATCCACCATAGAATATTCTAAAAAGGACTTATGATTATTTTCTAAATAAGACCTATAATTAGAAAAAAAATAGAAAGTTCTAAGGTGGTTTCACAAAGTATAAATAAGATTAGCCAAGACCATTTAGATACTGGATTAGATATGGCTTTGGTTTCTTTCTCTTGCTAAAGATTGGTTTTGCATTTTTTTTTGTTTAATTTTTTTTTTTTTTTTCTTTTGCTTTTTTTTGCCTTTCATGTTCCATTCTATTTAGTTTTGTTTAATTTTGTTCTAATCTATGTTGTCCTATATTGTGATAAGATTTATATTGCTATGGATTCAAAGGATCTTAAATCTTAGAGATAGCCTAGTTATATTTCATCTCTTCTTAAATAAACGATCAAAAAAAGATAAGGCTTGTCTTATGAGTAATGTTCAAACTAAATCAATTGACAACTAATTTATTGGATAGTGCTCAAGTTGTAGAAAATTTATCAATCAAATTTGGTTAATAAATCCTCAAAACTTAGAACATATCCCATCAAATTTTTCTAAAAGACTAATTCAAGGAACTTTATGTTGTTGAATAGGTCAATTTTTTTATTAAGGTATAAGTGCCATTGCCTACTTCAATGTAGTAGCTTTAGAAAGTGGTTGTATTACATGTTGAACTAGTGCAAGTCTTGTATCATAATGAAATCTTATACAAAATTCCTCAATTTTAGCAATTCTATAAAATAAAGCATTCAACATGGTCATAATAACATCTAACTTAGACTCAAGAACCTCAATCATATTAACATCTTCTCCTCTAGGCAAATTGAAAGAAAAAATTAAAGTTTCTAAACAATAATAATTTAGAGGAAGATACTCTATAACATCTAAAGTACTTAGATGCCTTCAAGAAAAGAAATAATATACTCGCTATCAATAAGGATCAAGCTCCAGTATTGATAAGAGCACAATCTCAAAAAATTAACATAGATATACTACTCAAAAGACCAAAGAAGAAGTTGAATAGATGAATTTCAACAAAAAAAAAACTAATATAAACTTGATTAAATGAAATAAGTATAAGATCAATACTAAGAAAGGCAAGCTAGAATTCCAAGAGACCTTTTGTTAAGACTAAGGATCTCCTTGGCCTCAACTCTAATATATACTAGGTATTAAGAAGCTTTTTAAGAAGTTTTCATGTTGCTTAGAGACAAAGCAATCCTTCTTGAACAACTTCTTTAATTTTTTTAGAACTTTCTAGAATTTATTAAAATATTTTATGATCCTTTTAGAAATTTTTTAGAATATTCTATTAGAATATTTTGATAACTTTCTAAAATCTTTTATTAGAATATTCTAAAAAACTTCTATATTCTTTTTAAATTAATAGAATATTCTTAAGACATTGTTAAAATATAATTATTAGATGTTTGTAATAATTTCAACTTTTGATTAGAAATGAGTTAAAGATAATTTACTTTGAATAAAAGAATAATAAAAAAATAAAAAATAAAAATTCAAGTAAATACTATATTAAAAGATCTTAAAGTAAAATATGATGCTTCACAATTTTAGATAAGTGAGTTCTTTAGAACAATTTATGCATGTATGTACATGATTCTAGTTTATTTTATCAAATTATAATTTGGATTTTGGTTTTGTGTGATTTTACTAGGAAGAAGATGTATTGAAAATTCATATTGTTGCCAAAAATTCCACATTCAAATTATAAAATTTTACCTCTTTTTTTATTAAATGTCCAAAAAGTTGTTATAAGTTTAGAACCTAAAAATAACCTAATTCTGATAAATATAATCAAATAAACAAGAAATATTAGTTAAAATGTATAAATTACAAGGTTCTGCTATGTAAATAAACTATATATAAATATATATATATATATATGTAATTTTTTATACTATGTTCTTCAAATTTGATTCAAGAGCTCTTCTCTAACATGCAACTCTCATCAAATTCTAGTGTTCACTGTGGCAAATCCATAACGTGCACAACCAAGATACATTTGTATTTAAAAAGACAAAAGTGATGCTTCTCATTAACTCAGAGTAATAACATAAAATACACTAGATCAAATGTTAAAGAGGTTAGAAGAATATTTTATTCTGAAGTGTGCATGATTTGCTTGCATGTTATTCTCTTTCTTTCTAATGTATACTTTCCCCTCACATGTAAACTTACCACGAGTTTGTTTTCAGTGAACAATATTTCCAGAAACAACACAGGGAATCCGGTATTACAAATCAATTCCAACTAGCCAAATGGTGGACCCTAATTTTTTGTGTTTACAAGTAGTCAGTGAATTGGTGCTGAAACATGGTGATTTTCTTGACTGGAGCGGAGTGGGGTGGTGGACCTCGTGAGCCATAGCATGTGTGTGGTTGACAGGTTCTTGATGACTTCCATCGCTATTTTGCAAGATAATGTGACAAGTTTGCTGTTGAAGATGTTGTGTGCAGTAACTTAGTTACAGTGTCCATGTGGGTTTCGCATTCTTTTATGAATGTGCTTCATGATTGGCAGATTCCTCAGTCAGTTAATTTTGCTTTTTTGTAAATCCTTCTCATAGATTTGGTCGCTTAGTGGCCATGCTTCTTTAACTCTGCGAAAGTTTGTCGAAGATGGCGTTACTGACGGCATGCGGCAAGCTGAGCTTCAAGTATGTGCTAACCGGGGAATTTGAAGTCAGGAGCTACAACTTGAGTGAGATGCATTCGAAATTGTGTGCCTCAAGGTGCGTTGTTTCGCATTGTAGGGCATCTGGGCGGTCGGAAAGTAGTGCATCAGAGCTTCGCATTGGGGAAGAAGAAGATAACCCCTTTGTGAAGCCCCTGTCGAATATCTACTCTGTTGTTCCTTGCCGGTTTTGCAAAGGTATGTGTGTGGTAGAAATATGTGTTCGTATCGAGCAGACTTCTCATAATACTGGACTGATCCTAGGGAGATTCTGTTTAGGTTAGAGGTTTTCTTGACCAATGTTGTCCACCTTCTTACATTGAAATACCTGTGAAACATGTGGGCTATTTTTATTTTTCCATTCTTGAATTAGACAGTTTGCAGATGATTTTCCTCTTGTTTCAATGCTTTCTAGTGCTCACTGTTCCTCTGTAATGTTTACGTGAAAGATTTATCATGAGATGGACTCTATGTTGACTGATTTCAGGCTCAGGGGAGGTGAAATGTGAGATATGTGATGGGCAGGGCAGTCTTGCACGAGGGGGTTTTCATAGGAGGAATCCGGTGTCAATAGCTAGAATTGTTGGTGAGTCCCTCCTTTTTCACAATTGCGGATTGCACAAAGTGTAGACAATTATCTTATGGTGTGAACGACTTTCTGGACACCAGTCTCGAACTTGAATATTGCAGATGGCTTTGAAGATGTGTGTCAATTCATGATTTTAAGTTGGTGGGCACGAGGTTTAAATCATGTGATTTTAAATCTGGGAAGGATCTAACTGGACTGCGATGGAGAGGACGCTTGGACGGCATCACTTCTTTGTATATTCAAAGCGCAGAGGGCCAGGAAAGGAATGGTTTCTGGAAATGGTCTCAGCATGTGATGATACAACACGACTTTGGATCAATGCGAAAATCCTGAGGGTTGCTATCTCCACAAATTACTCAAAAGTTGCTTTTGAATCATAGGGCCTCTTGACTTCCTGTTTTGTTTATCATTCGACTTTACTTCAAAAGACAAATCCATTTTAGGGCAAGAGCACAAGGATAATTATTGAGTCCTTTCACGCCATAACTTCAACAACAGAGTGTTTGTTTCAATTTCACTTCAATATCTGGTTTGGCCATTTTGCAAAGTTCCATAATTCTCTGTTGAGGTTCGAGATATCGACTCCTTTTCAACCAATTGTCTGGATTTGTAGGATAGGGAACGTTGGAGTGCAGGTTGGCTTCAGAGAGGGGAACTCCACGGCATCAAAGTTGAAGGAGAGGGAGAGCGACAATCCAAAGCTGTAATCTGCAAGGGTTGCAAAGGACGTAAAACCCAGTCATGTCAAATGTGTGCTGAAACTGCTGGTGGGTCGCACCAACACTGGCAGCTTGATATCATTGATGTGTAGTTTCCTGTGTGAGTGTTCCAGTTTCCTCTGAAACATACAAAAAACTCTTCAGCGTTGAAAGTATTGTGCACTGTAATGGGTGCATTTTTATTTGCTTGCACGTCGTGACCCAACTGATGGGTTGGAAGTTCATCATCAGTAGAAGGATCACCATCCACTCAGGCAAGCAAACATTGATTAGAATTGTCAAGGGTTTTAGTCTGTTTGGAGGTTTAGGGTGAGTAAAAGCCTTGAGGAGGTTACCATGAAGCATGAAGAGCATAGGGAAACCACTCATGTAAAGCACACAAAGTAGTACAGAACTTGAGAAAACTTTGTAATAGAAGCCCTTTAAAGTAGGACCTTTTAGCACGCTCTTGAGTAGAAACAAATTGGGACCGTTCCATGCAGAAACTTGCCATAGAAAAAAGTGTCTTATTGCATCAATTTTGGATAAATTGATTTATATTTTAGTAAAAATAAATTATAAGAAAATTTTACTCAAACTTTTTTTCAATGTATTTTAAGCTATCTGTAGTGATCCAAGACAGTTAAATGCCTTAGAGATTTTACCATGATAATTTTTTATATATTGGTTCTAAGAAGAAATTAATCCATAAATTCTCTACTAATATTTTTTAGGATTATTGTCATATCTTAAAACTTAAAAAGATTAGAGAAATGTTTTATTTGAATAAAAATAAACTTATTTTTGAAAACTAGCCAATAAAAGAATTAAATGTCATTAAATATTGTTGAAGATCAGCAAGTTCTTACTTAGTTACCACCACAAGAAGATTAATCATAGTAAGTTGTTAATGGTCAAAAGGCACGAAAGGATTAAAAGAAGTTACTATGGCGGCAGCTAGGGTTTTAAGGTGGCGGCTAGATTAAGATGAATCTAGATCTAGATTGAAAGGATGAACGTGACTCTGGATGAAGTCTATGTACTTGGGATGTAAACTCCACCTATAAGTAAAAGGTGTTGGAAGTAAGAGATATCTTTCTCCACACTTCTCTTAGAATACAAACCTTGCTAATGCTATGTGTTTATAACTTTTAGACTTCTTTTCTTCAATAAATACAACTTATGATTTTTAATTTAGAATATCTATTTGTTGTAATATCATAAAGAATAATAAAGATGATCTAAAAATGTAATAACAAACTAGATCTAAATAATCACAAATATTTTTTTTTCCTTTCTATATTTTTTAATATTCTATATAAATTTCTCAATTTTGCTAAAGTATATATTTATGTATCTCAAAATTCCTATCTTACTTTAAAAGCAATGCAATTTGATATATTCTTTATTTTTTTTATGAAGATTTGATTCAATATTATATTAATATTAGTTAAATTTAATAAAATTTTAACATTTTTTCTACATTTACACAAAATATCTCATTTTATTATTTTTTTATTATAAATAAATTTGTCTTAAATTACAAGATTTACAATATTTTTAAAATTAAAACAAACAATTATCTTTTCATTCTTCCAACTAGCATATGAATATATATAAATAAAATTTAACTTTTATATTTTCTATAAAAGATCTAATATTAAATATTATTCATTTTAATGTAAGAATATTATATCTAAGATTCTTAATAAACAAAAAAGAAATGCAAAATAGAACTTTAGTTTTGTAATTGAAACTTAAAGATATTTTATACAATATAAATCTATACAACTAAGTTACTTAGTATTTATTACTTAAATATTACATGGAATTGCAACAATTTTGTTAATTAAAATTTAAGTAATGATTTTGCTGCTAATCCAATTAATCAATTTGATTTAATTAACTTAATTTTAAAATTAAACAGGTTAATATTGCAAGTACTAAAATATTTTGTGATAAACAACATTATATAAACTCATTGAATTATGAATAATTTTTTATTAAATAAAAATAATAAATATTAAATTAAATAGATAGAATTTAAGATTCTCAACACTACAAAAGAATTTGATACACTCGTTCTAATAAAATGAACTACAGTAAGTTGAGGTATTAATAACAAAGAAATTAGTGAAATTTAGCTTTTACTATTCCAGGATAAATTAAAATTTTAAAATTTTAGTCCAACAATGTTTTGCTAAAATATTTGTATAAATAAAATTATGTAAAAATGGTTTTATGGATTTTGATTGTAACATGAACAATATTGTCGAATGGCTTTAAGGCTAATTTTTAAAATATATGATTTTATGCAAAATATTGTTTATATTTTTTCTATTGTCTAAAACAATAACTGTTATTGGTAATGCACACAAGATTAATAAAGAAATGTAGTTGTGCAAAATAAAAGTAATATAATGAATCATAAAAATAATGTGAACATTAGAATTTAGGAGCAAATTTTTTTTAATCTTTCACATTCAATCTTCCACATTCCCAACACTCAATTAACAAGACAACAAGCACTACTTATACATCAAATAACTTGAATAGAAAGAAGGACGAAGTGCAACATACGTAAGCTTCAATGATTCTCTCATTTTTAATATGCACACATACATTAAATAAATAAACAAGTAAATACAGGCTTAAGACATGAGAAAAAACCTTGAATTGCATTGAATCATAATATTTTATTCTACTCATTCGAGACAATTCACACCTCAACAAACTCAAACAGAGCTTACAAAATCATCTAACTCTCGATTACAGTGTACATAATAGACAGACCATAAGGATACCAACATGTTTCTTTTCAAGGAGCAGTTACTATTCAATCCGTTAGAATTTTCAGAAGGCAAGAGGAAGGACAATTCAGGTTAAGAGTCAGTAGGATTGTCAGGCTTGTTTGCAAATCCTGCCTACACCAGCAAGAAACGTGAAGAGTGTGACATCTCTTTAGTGATGACACTAGGTCCATAATGACGTCTTCCCACAAGACTCTACCTGCTTGACAAGATTAGAGAAGTAAAGCCTGATATGGGATAACCATCAGCCTACTGAGGATAACTGATACAAACTGATTTTCAACAAGCGCAGATAAACGGACTGATTTACTTCGTTTTCACAGTTCCAGAGCTTGACCAAATGTAGCGAGCATGAGCTAGAACTGGTTAGTAATCTGCTGTGCCGCTTCTGTGAAACATCAGAAAAGTACCTGTGGGGTGGGTGACACTGAGTCAAGTTCATCATCGTTCAGAACCATCGGGAAAGTGCCGCAAGGCGTTTGTATTTCCCTTCACGTAGTGATCCACAATGGCACGCATACGTTCCAATTTGTCAGGGTGATAATTCACATGGATAGTGACAGGTTTGTACTCAGCGAAATTCGCCTCCTTCCGCAGATGTTTGAACAGTACCTTGCTGTTCATAAATAGGTAAAAGTCAAGGACTCGTCGAGATGCATGAAGCCCCTCATAACCAGGATGTGAAGGGTTAAATAACTCTTCGTTGAATACTGCTTGATCCCAGGCCTTCTCTTTACTTAATCTTGCAGTAACTCGGTCCAGCAACTCGATTGAGGGAACCGTGGGTCGGATATAAAAGAGCCCTGAATTGAACACCCAAATCCGCATGGTATGTGCAAACCGTGACCAGCCCATAGTAGGGTCTTCCGACACATCATCATAGCCGTAGGCTGTTATATTATTGAAACCATCTGACATACTCTCCACATCACAATCCCTGTGCAAATGATTGAAGGGGTTTTGGAGGAAAACAATGTCAACGTCAGAGAGCAGCACACTGTAGCCAAGCACCAGAAACTCCCGGAGAAGGTGAAACTTCAAACCTGAAATCGGTGGCAACTAGGATTAGCCTCATCAAAAGGTAAAAGACAACATAAGAATGCACAAACCTAAATTGCGCAAACTGCTGGAGATACACGTATTGAGGTGCAGACCTGAGATAGCATGATTAGAGCCAGTTCCAGCCTGTGACTTTGAAATCGTTGCGTCGCGTCTGTAGACAGGCACATTGTGCTCGTTACAAAATGAGGCAATCTCATCGTCTAGTGCAACCACCAAGTAATTCGTCACACCCACCCGTTGGATACTCTCAAACCATATCTGTAGAAGGTTAGGCGACGAGAAAGAATCAGGAAATGATAATCACGTAACCTTGTGTATTCTGATGCACACAATAGCCACGTGACGGAGACATGATCAAGACAGCAACAGCTTCTTCGAACGTGCCAAATCATGGCAGACTGTGAGCTGATTTTCATCAAATGTGCAAAGCAGCAAGGTTAAGAAGCAGCGAAAGTCACGAAAAGATTTAACCGACCACTACCTGGAGCATATCTCGGACATTGTTGTTGGAGATGCTCACAATCAACTCTTCATTGATAGCAATCTTCTTCAGGAGCGCAGCGAGGTTGGGATTAACAGATTCATCCGGTTGCACCTTCTGCTGCGTCCGCACACTTTTCACAGTACCAACAGGTCCTACTTTGCCCGAGGGTGATAATGCCTCCAGCTGCTTCATTGCAGCATTTCTCTCTTGCTGTAGCACATCGTTCCTTATTTTTATTTTAATTAGTTTCGCATTTTCCTTCTCCAGTCGCCCGAGCTCTCTTTCGAGCATTGCCACTTTTGCTTCTAAATTTAAAATGGCTCCGTCCAGCTACATGACAGTTAAGACAAGTTCACCAATACAGATAAGATCAAGTATCCTAGAATCATATGGTACCACTACACCAGCCTCAATCTCCATCAAACGCATCATACCTGTTCAGGATGTCATGGATCCACTAGAAGAGCTCATGCGACAAAACTTTGCAGGGACATGAAGTCAGCCTTCTAATCAAACGTATAGAGGCCAATCATCAAATCATTACAGCATACCATGATGAGCATAACCGTTCGAAGAAACGTAACCAAAACATTCACGAATCACTTTCTTCCCTGGCTCACTGTTGTTCTGACGAGAACCACTTAAAAACAACCAAAATGGTACTCTACAGAAGCTGAATGGGTGACAATCTGTCAATCCCCCTGTCAAAACCGACTATGGAATCATATTCGCAGCTCATTGTGAAGAACAGTAGCAACCCACTAATGCTTTCCATGCAACATCTGTTTGATTCTTAAAGTTTAAAATAATGTAGGCTATACGAGTTCACGCGGCGATCATACCACAGTCCAAGGATCGAATTAACGATCACCAATTACGTAGCTCATAGCAGCCACAGTTATAATCGACAAGAAAGCATCACTATTAGTAAACAAGCAGAATTTTTTTTATTTTTCTCTCTTTCTTTTACATTCATATGAGGATTGAGTGCAAACAAGCTTTTGACGTGCGAGTGAGAATTTCCCACCTTCTTAACAGAGCCACCGACTGGCATGCGTTCGAAGCCTCGGGTCGATGACACTGAAGACCCCATCAAACCATTAGGTCGAAGATAGGCCCAGAACAAGCCCATAATCATCCCAATTATAACAGCATACGCAATTCGGTAATACCTAGTCGGTCCTCGTTCCCCAAGCATCTCCTTCTTCCCCATCTACTTCTTCGTCTTCTCCTCCTCCTCCTTCTCCTCCCTTCCTGTCAACAACAATGACCAACTACCTCCAGCCCGACAAGGGCTTTACCTAACCCACACCACTCAGGTCACGATTCTCCTCCGCAATCCCCAACCCAACTACAGTGCCTCCGATCTCTCGAGAACACTCACCCCCAAATGGCCGGTAATCCTCCGCTTCTTCCCTGCAACCACGAAATCGTCCTCTCGCTTTACCTCGTTCTCAATTCTGCCCCCACTGCTCCTTTCAAGTTATTCCCTCTTCTCCCTGCTTGCGCGTAGTTCAAAATCACCCCGAAAAGCAGCGGTTACCGGTTGGAACTACGTCACCGCCCGAGGAAAAGCTGCACGAGGAGGAGCGTTTTGCAGGTGATTGGAACAGGAACTGGCGATGCGTGAAAGGCCTGAAGAGCGATTCGCGTTGATCGGATCTGTCCAGGCCAGAGGTGTGAGCGCGGCGTGAGCGGCCGTCATCAAGATCTCAGATCCCATCTTCATTCCTCCGAAGGACCACTGCTGCCTCTGCCATTGCCGTTCCCCGCCCCACCCGGCCCCGCCACTCCCCTCGCCCGGGACCCGTTCCCCGCATCCCCTTCACCCTTCCCGTTGCATCTCTTCATCCATGGGACTCGTCTCGCCTTCATTCATCAACCGTCATCATCCATAGCTCTTCCATCCCCTATTCATCCGAGTCATCTCCATCCATCTTCATGACGTGTCGTGTTTGGTTTTAGATGTGAATAATGTTGAATTATTGTTTGAAAGAATAATTCCAATATTCAGTGATGATTTTTTCTTTGTTAAAATGGTTACATTTTGATTTAATCATTAGTTTATTTTTGCATTTGCTATTTTCAATGCAAACACTTATTTGGTTTAGATGATTATTATTTTGACATGTTTTGGAACTTCAATAATAAACTCTTACAAATTCTGATAATTATGTATTAAGATATACCATCCATATAATAAGGAAGCTTAATTATAAGACAAAAAGCTAAAAATAATAATAATAATAATAATAAAACCTTCTCATTGGCTAATGAGACAAAGAAGTCTTTTTATCAAATAATTAAAATAATCATTGAAATTGTATCTTGCCTTCTTACAATGCTTTTTTCCAAATAAAAAATCGTTTAGTTTTTGAAATAAATAAAATTTTCTTTACCAGTAACACTAAATAAATATAAATATTTATATTTTTAATATATATATATATATTAAAAATAAACTTATATATATAATTTACTTGATATTTCTTTAAAATATGTTAATTTTTAATTTAAAAACTAAAATATTACAACTATTTTAGATCATCATAAATTTTTGCTATATATATATATATATATTCATACATAATTAATCAATCTTTACTATATTTAACCTCATTATAATTAACTTTAGCTTATAATCCATTTGTTCTATTGATCCTAATTTGCACCACTAAAAGTAATATTTCATATAGTCAAATTTCATAGTAAAATATCATATATTCAATATCAATAATATTGCAAGGAATGTTGATTGTAACAAATACACTTATGTGTAATATGTACATATTATATAGTACAAACAAGCCTTAAGTATAACAACATAGTTCAATTGAGTAGTTTTTACAAAAAAATTGTTAGTGTTAAAATGCAACAAACCAAAATCAAGATCTGTAAAACAAACTTCCCTAAGGCTATGCCTTTTTAAGCCTCTAACTCAAGGATAAATATACATCTTAATTACAATCATAATGAATTACATCCAATGAAAAAATTGGGACCCATGATTTATAATATGTACTCAATGAATACTTGAATACATCATATATAGGCCTAAAGCCAAAAGCTTGGTGCAAAGTGGAACCTATCAAAAACATCAAAAGCCTTGAGCTTGAAAATGAACAACAACCAATCTAAGTTAAGAAAACACACCATTAATGCATTGTTGTGTTATGTAAAAATTAGCTCAAGAATGCACTAGATATCTAGTTATGAGAGGATTTGATTTTATCTTAAAATTGGATTTATAATCTAAAAAAAACTCAAAAGGTGTTAAAAAACACATTTGTGACAATCTTGAATAATCTAAGAAAACTTCTAATCATGCTAAGTATATCGTATCAACCTTAAATGAATCCTTGAGATAACTTATTATATTCTAATCAACTCAAAATAAATCTCAAAAAATCCATAACAATTCTAATTAAATCCTAAAGAAATTCTAACTAAATTCTGGACAATCTAAAAGAAATCTTAAACAAATCTTAATTGAATTCTAAGTAAATCCTAGAAAAATCCTAATCAAATCCTACCTAAACTTTAAATAAATCCTAATAAACTTCTAAATAAACTATTTAGCTAATTTCAAACATCAATAATTATTAATTTAATTGTTGATTTGAATTCAAAAAAATTATGCTATTCAAACTATTAGTTGATATCTATTACATTTTTTTTTGAAGATAACCAGACTTACAAATTGGGAGAATAAACTCAAATTAGATTAACCACAATTTTTATTTTTTATTTAGTAATTTATAATTACAGATATATCTATCTCTTTATAAACTAAACAGTTGAAGACGTCACAAACATTCAAATAAATATGTACAATTCGTGTTTAGAATGTATTTATTTGAAAACATGTATATATGTTTATCTACATGTAAATATTGATTTAAAAAAATTGCTCCAATTTATTATATATTTGATTAAAATATTTTATGAATTCAATTATATACAATAAATATATAAATAAAATCAAAATAAATTTGAATGATTGGAGAACTAACAAAATACGTTTTAAGTACATATTCTTTAAACACATTCAAAATTTTATTCAACCTTGGGATTTTTCAAAAATTGCCTTTAATTTAATCATTGTTGATGCAGGCAAGTTTTGGTATGAATTAATAAAGCAAGAAAATCTGAAATAAAGTTTGAGATTTCGAGTTTATGAATGATTTAATTCGCAATAAGAATTTATTTGGTTTAATTCTTGTAACAAGTATGTTCATCCCGAAAATGAAATTAGATTTACAAAACATAAATGCACCTTAATATATCTAGATAGTATTTGCATGTTGGCAATTATATTTTACATACCTTTGAAAAAATTAGGTTATAACTTAACTCTTATCTGATCAACCAATGTATTCTTTTAAAAACTATAAATAGAGTTAAGTAAATTTTAATGTTGAACCATCCAAAATTATTATCTAAAAATTCATAGAAGGAATAGACTAAGCGTACGGGGATATTTGGTCTCAGGTAGTACATTTTCCATAAATTAGTGTAAGCTTGAAATAAAGGACTCAGATGTGGGTCACCAGCGGTTGTCTTTAGAAGTCACACGGTCGTGGGGTGAAACCAGGCGATTCCACATCCATCCACATCCATTTACATCCATCTTCGGTTGCAGTGTGAGAGAGGGGTAGAGCTAAAACCGACCCTAATAAAAAGGGCGTTGCATCTATCCCGGGAGCGCGGCAGTTAACTAAAAGTTACCAACTTACTAAAAGGTGGAGAGGTGGTGAGTTTGGTCGAACCCGAGTCCAAGCAAGGCTACTCTACTCTACGCTACTCTAGCCCTACGACGAGGAAGGTCTATTGATGCAAACGAGGCTAGACCGATCCAATCAAACCTCGTGCATATCACTACTGCCCTTCCTTCCGCCAAAGCGCTCGCGTGGGGGGGGGGGGGGGGGGGGGTTTTTGTTAAATGCTACCGGCCCTCTCCACAAGCATAGGGCTCCTCTCAGCTTCATCGCCATTCTCGCACAGCACCAGCACCAGCTTTTTTTTGCTCCAGCAGCATTTGCACTGCGCCCCCCCCCCCCCTTGTGAGTGAGCTTGCTGTCGAGGTGGTGCTTCAGCTAGGCCCCGAGGCTTTGCGTCTGTTGAGCAATGGCGACCTCGCTGCATCTTTCGTTGGCTGCCTCGGCGCCGGCATCCGCCCTGAGGAGCTCGTCGGCGTTCTTTGGAAATGCTGGGAGCCTTAGTCGCCCATCGGTGGTGCTCGGGATCGGGAGGAGGAATGCGAACCTCGTAGTGGAGGCTAAGATTCGGGAGATTTTTATGCCTGCTCTGAGCTCTACCATGACGGAGGGCAAGATTGTGACGTGGAATAAGACCGAGGGCGAGAAGCTTACCAAAGGTATTGCGTGCGTTTTATTGCTCTGTTTAATTCTTTTCTTGGACTTTTCGTTGTTTTGCGCATTGGTGGAATGGCGATGGTTTTTGTTGTCGAGTCAAACTTGTGTTCAGTTTGATGACGGAATGGGTTTATCGACTTACAGGGGTTTATGAGATGTTTGATATAGGTTGTTAAGATTGATGAGCTATGGGGTGGTGGGCTGGTGAGTGTGATACGCTTGATCGAATTGATGATTGGAGTAGGGAGATGTGGATTTTTATTTTATTTTATTTTATTTTTTTCAGGTGAGAGCGTGGTGGTTGTGGAGTCTGATAAGGCCGACATGGATGTGGAGACGTTCTACGACGGCTTTCTTGCCAAAATTGTGATTGGGGAGGGAGAGACAGCACCTGTTGGAGCTGCCATTGGACTGCTTGCTGAAACGGAGGAAGAGATTGCCGAAGCTAAGTCCAAAGGAGCCGCGCAAGCAGCTCCTGCTGCTCCGAAACCCTCAGCTGTAGAGGAGAAGGCTGTGGCACCACCTGCTCCAACTGCCGCACCTGCTGTAGCAGCTGTCCAGGTCGCTCCAGAGCCTACTGCTCCCGAGGAACCCAGGTCGAGTAGAATTGTAGCAACCCCTTATGCCAAGAAGCTTGCAAAGCAGTACAGCGTTGATCTTGCTACCATAGCAGGCTCTGGACCTTCGGGTCGTATTGTTGCCGAGGATGTGGAGGCTGCTGCTGGCAAGACCCCCGTCCCTGCTGCTGCTCCCGTCCCATCCGTGGCCCAACCTTCGGCTGCGGTTGCTGCTGCTCCCTCCGCTGCTCCAACTCCTGCCGCAGCCCTCGCCCCTGCTGGTTCTGTAGCATTCACGTCAATGCAGGCTGGTGTGGCCCGTAATATGGTGGACAGCATGTCCGTCCCTGTGTTCCGCGTTGGTTACACTATCACCACTGATGCGCTTGACGCCCTCTATAAGAAGGTCAGTATATACCGTGCTGCCTGGTTGACTTTTGATTACATTGTTGTTATGGCTTTATTTTAGGACTTCTTGCAATCATCAAGCACAAAGCATTATTTCTTGCAAAATCCTGTTATTTAATATTCTGTATGGCTGTTTTGTTGAACATTAGATCAAGTCGAAGGGCGTGACGATGACTGCACTTCTTGCTAAGGCTGCTGCCCTTGCCTTGGCGAAGCATCCCGTTGTCAATGCTTGCTGCAAAGATGGCAAAAGTTTCACTTATAACGAAGACATCAACATTGCCGTTGCCGTTGCAATGGACGGTGGTCTGCTCACACCAGTCTTGAAGAATGCAGATAAGGTAAACTGTATTGGCCATGAGCTATGTTACGCTTATCAATTACCTCAAGTCATCAGTACTCGATGTATTTGATGAGTATTCGAAGTATTCGTAAGCTCCGTTTTAAATTTGGTCTTTCTAGGATTATGCAATGTCTTTGTGCTTTGAGTTAATGCTTCTCTGAGCGATGTAGTCCCTTGGTGTAGCGTGACGTGACGAACATTGGGACATCGCATTTGACAAGTTGCTGCTCTAATTTTGCAGGTGGATATTTACTCATTGTCTCGCTCATGGAAGGATCTTGTTGACAAGGCCCGCGCCAAGCAGCTTTCACCAGCAGAATACAATTCAGGTATGACTTCTATTTTGTGGGTTCGAGTTGGGACATCTTCTCTTCAGATAGTGCGCATTTCCATGCCCCTTTTCTAGGGTAGCAATCTTAGTGAGCATGGATGTCTTGCTTCTTGTTCCTGATAACAATATGTTCGGTTGCAGGCACATTTGTTCTGTCGAACCTTGGAATGTTCGGGGTAGACCGGTTTGATGCCATATTGCCCCCTGGCATGGTAAATGAAGCCCTCTATCCAGTGTCAAACCTCTCCTGTCTGCGCAGCTTCTATATCTTTAAGATACTTCACTTGTGTTAGAAATTTTCAGAATCAGCTTTTTGTGCACTATTTTGTTACTTCATTGTGTACTTTACTCAAGTATGTTGAGAGTCAAATATATTTACTCGTGTTCATGTGGAGCTGACCAAGTACGGACTTCTCCTTGAACAGGGTGCAATTATGGCAGTTGGCGCGTCTGTTCCCACGGTAGTTGCCACAGGGAATGGGCTATTTGGCGTGAAGAATAGAATGACGGTAACGTTTTTCCTTCCATGTCTTCTGTGGTGATCATCTTCTCCTATTGAAGTTGGGGCCACCAGCGCTTAACCATTCTCGTTCACAAAGTTTCGATGGTGCTGTGATTGACCAAAATTCATGTTTTCTGAAAAATTAGGGTATGTGGTTTCGGAATTGGTGAACAGAGTCTGATCTGTTTTGGTTTACTGAACAGGTGAACGTGACCGCTGACCACAGAATCATCTATGGTGGAGACCTAGCTGTGTTTCTGCAAACCTTTGCAGCAATCATTGAGGACCCCACGGAGCTAACCATGTGATACTAGTAAAGAAACTGATGTGCGCAAGTCCATGGTAATTCAGTTAGAACAGCCCAGATATTATTAAGGGTATTGTATTTGAGGTCAGAGGTTTGGTTTGCAGGTAGGCCATGACGATTTTTTTTTCAATCTTCACAAATTCGATTTCTTACGAGTCGTGTAGTCCGTGCTGGATTTGTAAAATGCAGTGACAATGCAAAAATGGTCGCAAGTTTCAAACCATTTGGTTTAGTTTTCTTGCCATGTTCTCTGACACTAGAAAAACACTTCGCCAGAACAACCAAAATCCACCTTTGAAACTGTCAAGATGGGGTTTCTTTCGTACAAATTAATTCAAACAACTTACGTTAAACACCTACCTAATCCTTATCGTCACCACCCAAATCCGTAGAGCTTCCTCATGATATTCCATTGCACTAAACGCCCTCGATAACCCAAACGAATCCCTTGCACTTATTCTCCGAAGACCTAAAATGGATTATGCACCCTTCAAATCACGACACACGCATCAATGGGGTTGTGAATGCAGTGCAAACGTCAATCAAAGATGGGAACTGAAACTAGAACCCTACATTACGGATGAGGAAACTCGTAATCAACGTTGTTGATTTCATTGTGGAAGAAATACAATAACCGGAAGTAAACGAAAGAAACTCCAGGGCAGAAAACCTTAAGCACCATGGGTTCGAAAGCGGCGGTGACCGGGTATAAGATCCGGGTATGATTGGGTCCATTCCGGTCATGAGTGGGTATGGATGGGTCCAGTCCGGTTGTGAGGGGGCTGGGAAATCACCGACCTGGGTGGGCCGAAGCGGGTTTGTGTCGTCGGCTTCTTCAGTCTCCCTCCCTCTTCTTGTGAGTGTTCCCAGCGCGAGGCAAAACCCCCCGTCTAGCGCGTCGTAAGTTTGTTGCCACCCTCTACTCCTTGGTTTTGCAGCTCCGTCGGGCTGCATTTTTCGATGTAGACTCGTCAGAGGCTTGTTAGGCTGTTCTGTATCTGTTTGATCCTTGTTAAGTGTGCAAACAGAGGCGTTTTCTTAGGCGCAACGACATTGTGCAGAGTTGGAGCCAGAGTGTGGAGTATGTTGGAGGCGATGCTGGAACTAGGTTGAGGTTGGAGCGAGAGTTAGGATTGAGGGGGAGAGAAAAGTGGAGTAATGGAAGGGGGTAATTCGCTCGTTGCTGGGCCGGAGGGGAGGAAGCGGCGGGTGTCGTACTTTTACGATCCTGATGTCGGGAACTACTACTATGGACAGGGACATCCCATGAAGCCTCACCGCATTCGGATGGCGCACTCGCTGTTGGTGCACTATAATTTGCACACGAGGATGGAGGTGCTGCGGCCTTACCCGGCGCGCGATCGCGACCTCTGTCGTTTTCACGCGGATGATTATGTTTCTTTCTTGAAAGAGGTTACGCCGGAGACGCAGCACGACCAGATGAGGCAACTCAAGCGTTTCAACGTGGGCGAAGATTGCCCTGTGTTTGATGGGCTGTACAATTTCTGCCAAACCTATGCTGGGGGCTCTGTCGGGGGCGCCGTGAAGCTGAACCATGGCCACAGCGACATTGCCATCAACTGGGCGGGAGGCTTGCATCATGCCAAGAAGTGCGAGGCTTCCGGGTTTTGCTATGTTAACGATATCGTGCTGGCTATTTTGGAGCTTCTTAAATACCATCAGGTACGACATAGCACTACTACGTAATTTTTTTTTACGGTTCATAGTTTTTTGGTTACAGAAAGGGTGAGTTGTTGTATAATTTTTCCCTGCTCCGGATTCTAAAGTATCGCAGTGACTCTACCTACAGTCTCCTTTCAAACTCTTATGAGTTCTTTTGGGGTTTTGAGGAGCGATGTGTCACCAGCGAACTTTCACCATATTGCTAAAGTTTACTCTTTAATATACAAGCAAAAATAGACTATTGCAACCAGGTGCCTGCTAGTATATTTTACACGTTAGGCTCTTTCTCCTTTTAATTTCTTTCCAAAAAAATAATTCTGACACAAAACCTTGTGTTATTGTCATTTATTTATTGCGGAACATCAAAGTCTTGTGCTATAGTCTAGGTTGTGGTGCTAGTTCTAAGAAGTCAGTGATGTGAAGTTCATCTTTACTAGTTAGTGTGTTGGGTGAAGTTCAAGCAGTGTCCTTGTCAGCGGTATAGTTTTTACTGTTTTCAAAGCAGTTTTAGCAAGACTGAAAATATTTCACTGTCATCTTTGGTGTTGGAGTAGTGGAAGATTGCGAATTCGTATACTTTGGGTTCAAATTGATCATTTCCGCATTATATTCCTGCCTGTTCAGTTGTTGACTTGTTTTGTACGCGGATTAGGTTATTACCTTTAAGAGATTTTCAAGTGTTTTTTTTGCTGTCTTTGCGCTTGTTACGAACCCCCCCCCCCTTTTTTTTTTTTTTTTTTTTTTTTTTTTTTTTTTTTTCTCATTAAGTATGTGTTTATCCATCCGATCCTTCCAATTCAGTTATGGCAACTTGTTATGGTCCACCTATGAATGTATTTTCAAGATCTCCAGTCTTATAGGTTTTCTTAGTAGGAGCACCTTTGAAGTTCTCAGACAAAACAAGGTGCCAAGTGAGGTTACTGGGTCCACTATATCAAGTTCCTTGAAAACCAGATGTGTCTACGGCTATTGGGGGCAATCATTTTATTTGATAGGGGTTGGTCTATTGAGAACTAGGTTGTGTATTGGTGAGTTGGGTCTCGAAGCTTGAGTCTTCTATATAAGTATTGTAAGACCAACTCAATCTCGTTGTTATTCTGTCTAGTTCTGAATAAGGTGGGACTCAAATTGTACATGCAGCGAGTGCTCTATATTGATATCGACATACACCACGGAGATGGCGTGGAGGAGGCGTTTTACACAACTGATAGAGTGATGACAGTGTCTTTTCACAAGTTTGGGGACTACTTTCCTGGAACTGGAGATGTTCGAGACATTGGTTATGGGAAGGGAAAGTATTATTCGCTGAATGTTCCATTGGACGATGGAATTGATGATGAGAGCTATCAGTCGCTTTTTAAGCCCATCATGTCGAAGGTGATGGAAGTATTCCAACCTGGTGCAGTGGTTCTACAGTGTGGGGCCGACTCTTTGTCGGGTGATCGACTTGGCTGTTTCAACTTGTCTGTGAAAGGCCATGCAGAGTGCGTTCGATTTATGCGATCTTTCAACGTGCCGTTGCTGCTTGTGGGTGGTGGCGGGTACACGATTCGCAATGTTGCTCGTTGTTGGTGCTACGAGGTGCTGTGGAATTTCCCATATCTTTTTCAACGATCATTTGAGCTATGAGATGACCTAGATTGGATTTTAGCTTCTGGATCCTGTTAATGCTAGTGTAACTCTACTTGTTACTTGTTTGAGAGCGCTGTCAACTCTCTATTTCATTCGCTTTAAATATATCTAAGCCATTATATTGTTCTAGGGTTTTTGTATCTGCATGTAGTCCTAGGTCGTTCAAGATAAAATCAAATGTTTTAAAATCACTAAAGGCCATACTTTCGAATGACAAGAAGCTTGTTTTCAAGTTTGTTGGTTATCTTCTGAATGGTATTGTCTCTCTATTTTACTTGAATCTTAATATTTTTCTTGCTTCATTTAATGTCGTGGTTTGGTGCATTACAGACAGCTGTGGCAGTAGGAGAAGAATTGGACGATAAATTGCCTCACCATGAATATTACGAGTACTTTGGGCCTGATTATTCTCTACATGTTGCACCTAGTAACATGGCTAATCAAAATTCAAAGAAAGATCTTGATAATTTGAGGTTAGCTTTCGTTCTCTGATACCCAGTGTATAAGCGTAATGCTTGTGGTTGTCGGAAGTTCTGCGATCATTAACTTGCAGCTGACTTTTTTTATGACAATTTGGAAATCTTCTTTAATCTGACATGGTGATTTTGTCCGCAGGATGAAACTATTGGATAACCTATCCAAATTGCAGCATGTTCCGAGTGTGCCTTTTTCAGAAAGGCCACCAGATACTGAACTCCCTGAAAATGTATGTGTGTGTTAGCTGAGGTGTAGCTTTCGGATTCAGTTTATGTTTAAAATGGGCTTTTTTTAGCTTTTAAGACCTCTGCAGAACTCGCTGTGTATCGATGGACCAACCGTTATTGAATGCAGGAGGATGAAGATTTGGAGCTTCGTGATAAAGGCCGCGCATGGGATGGCGAACTGTCTGAATCTGACTCTGAAGAGCATGATCTAAGACGCCGCAGCCAGGGTATAGTTGCTAGTGAGGCAGCATTCGCAAGGTCAGCACCTTCGCAGCCATGTTATGTGATAATGTTGGATTTTTGATTCCATGATTGACATTCATGTTGATTAGATAACTCGTGAAGTGATAGTGGTTGTCAAGATCATTCAATCATTACTATTATTGTTTTGGTTAAAGCCTAGTTATTTCGAGCTGTCCAAAATCATTTTACTCTCAAACTATGGTGCGTCGTTGTTCTACTCTCTTCCATGAAGAGTCAGGTGGCTGATAAGTTGATTTTCTTTGTACACAGAAGACCCCCGCCGTTGGGTTCAGTTAGGGGGAAATCTGAGGAGGATGCTGGTGAAGCAATGTCTTCGGTTAGTGCTTATCCCCTCTCTTATATCTTATGAGCGTCAACTAGTCCTTTTACTTTTATTGTGTCACTGGTCCTTATCTTTAATCAGATGTTTTGGTTACTTGTCCCCATACAGGATGACGAGATTGAAATGGAAGATGAGACAGGAAAAGGTCCCGAGGATTCAAAAGATGCTGCTGAGGAGGTAATGTAATGCTCAGCATGGTTATGATCAAGTAAATTTGTTCCATGTCACTTTTTTTTTTTTGTTTTCTTTGTTTTCTTTGTTTTTTCCCCCCCTTGTTTAAGTGCAGTTTTGAAAAAAAATGGTGTGCGCTTTAGTGTCAGTGTTAACCATGTACCAGCTCAGAATCTTCTCTGTATCAATTTTGAGATCCTGTAGGAATGCCAAATTTTGATTCAAGTGGACCTCACCGTGAGTAGTGCTGGCTTTTACATTTTTGTCTGGTGTTGTTTTTGAGCAAGGCACCAAAACAATAGCATTCTTCCTTATCCATTCTTGGAAGTACTTCTATGCTCGTGTAAGAACTCCATCCTGATCTGGTATTAATCCCCCCTTTTTATTTTATTTTATTGAACAGCACGCTGAAATGGATGTGGATCCAAGGGTGGAGGCTGGATCCGAGGCTGAGGCACCATCAAATATGGAAGTTGGTGAGGCACCTCGGGCAGAGCAAGCAGATATTTCTACAGGACCAGCTCCTGCTGTAGTGGTCACACCACCGACAACCACAGCCAATGTCGGAAGAGAGAGCAGTTTATCTGTATCTTCAGCTCCCCCCTTGCATGGCCCTCCTTTAAGCGCAAATGCTACTGCAAAACCAGCTGCTTCTTTTGGTAGAGTCGTGGAGCGATCAACGGTCGCCCCTGCAGCAGGAAATCCCAATCAAAGTAATTCTTCTTTTGGAGGCGCACCTGGTTTTACGCAAAGAGCATATGTGCCTCCCCAACCAGGCGCAGCGTCAAACATACCTTGGCGACAGTCTCAACCTGGCAACCATTCAAAGACCAACAATCCATCTAGTAATTCATATACCCCATCCCAAGCTGGTCTTTCATTTGGTAACAGGACAGGCCCTCCGCCTCCGAGTGTAGGAGTATCTGTTCTAGGCTCTGTTTCTGGAATTTTGCCTCGTCCTAATGTAAGCCTCGCGGTACCGCCCGGTCGGCCAGTTCCTCCAGGCCCCGGTTCTGTTCCTGTAAGACCGGCAGGACCAGCGAACCGGTTTCCATCCACCACCATTCCAGCAGCTGGATTGGGAGAGCCTGCAGGAACTGACCTCTGAAACCGCAAAAGGGTGCCTTAGACTTCTAAGATTCTGTTCCTTCACATTTTTTCATGCCTGCTTCTGCGGCGTTGTGATGAATATTGGGGGGTATCCAAGCCGTGTACAATGTGCTGCACTTCCTGTTTCCTTCTCTGTTTTGAACAGCTAACATACTCTTCAGCCACATGGTGTGATTTTTCTTTCTCTTCGCTTCTACCGTATTTGCGATGCTATGCCCGTATTGCTTGCTCTTCATGGGTGACATTCCTTGCCTCCAGGCCCTTTTCCGTGAATGCCTGCGGTGAAATGCCCATTGACGCTGACGAATAAACACTTTTAGTTTCTGTGGGAGTTTTCATGTCAAATATAAAATTTTCTATTCATGTAATTATTCTATTGACGATTTCAGTAGCCTCTTTTCCAAATCTAGTGGGTTGTCGAAATATTGTTAGTTTGGTTTGGGCCTATGCCCCACATTTGTGCCCTGTAAAAGCTGGGCGAATGTTAATAATTTCTTGATCCATCTGCACATGTTCATAGTGGATCGCTTCAAGACCAATATGGGGTTTATGAAATTCACCACACGGTTTGTGGTAATTCTACATGAGTTTTATGTGAGCCCATCTAAGATACAAGCTTGGAGGAAGTCTGAAAATGTTCCTTGGACTCATATTAGTTCTTAATGACAATATATCTCATGTTTGCCAATAATTTTTATGTCTTTAAAAATGTATGCAACTATTAATTTATAATAGATTTTAATTTGATTAATTAATCCAACTTTTAGTTTAAAGAACTATCTTATACTCCATGAGAAAGAAATGTTGCACAAAAAGAACTACCTTATACTCCATTAGAATATTAGTAGCACCTTTGGAAACTATGACATTTTGATTGCCTACAACCAAAAGACATACCTAGTTGTAGATTATGCAATTGTGATAAAATGTTCCAATGATTAGCATATGCACAATAAATACAAAAACTAACAATTTAAAAAAATCTTTCGTAGAAAAGAAAAGAAAAGAAAAGAACTTGTTTATGATCATTAATGTAACAATAATGTATCATGTGAATATTTTTAATTATACTAAAAAAATATATTATTTACTGATTTTAATTAATATATGCTAATGTGTCCTTTGTTATTAATATCTATTATTATATAAGAATTATAGATTTTTTTTAATAACTTATATTACAACTAATTATTTTTAATTTTTATAATACATAGAAGATGATAACTTTTGTTACATTCTTTCTTACTTTACATTTTGTTTGGTCTATTCATATCTATTATAAAATCAAAAAAGATAAACTAAGTCTTAAAGATGGATCTACTTAGAAAACCACTTATTAAATTGACCACTAATTTGACTATCAATCCAAAATAATATCTTTTAACACAACAATAATTTGATGGTAAGATAGTTGTAGTAGACAAACTTATTTTTTTATAATTACTTTATTTGATCAAATGTATATGTTCAAATGTAATTATTTATCAAAATTTCATATTTACAACTAGTTAATAATCTCTAAGATTACAATACTTGGATTATGGTACTTGGATTAAATACCAAATAATTACATATTTTATGACATTGTCTTATTAAACTATTTCATATATATATTTGGAATAAGATCCTATAATTATTTCAATTGTATAAAAAGAATACTATCTATTCTACTACCTAAAAATTCATAATGTTATAATATATTTTGCTTGAATTAATAAAAGACAAAGATAAATACCTAATTCAATTTCTTTCAAAAAGAATATATTACTTTAAGATTGGATCAAAATATATGTATAAAGATATAACTTATTCTTCTTTCTTCTATTATATTTTACTTACATTTATATTACTATTATATATGTTACAAATACAATATATGGGAGATCAAACAAGAAGTTGAACAAAAGGATTTTCAATAAGAAAATTAACAAGAATTTGATTAAGTCATATGAGTACAAAATCAATACTAAAAGAGGTGAGTTAGAATTTCAAGAAATATATTATTGAGACTTAGGATTCCTTTAGCCTTCACTCTAATATATATTAGGTATTAGGAAGCTTCTCAAGAAATTTCCATGTTGCTTAAAGATGAAATAATCTTACAAAGCTTCTCAAAAAGTTTTCATGTTGCTTAAAGACAAAGCAACCTTAGAAAGCTTCTTGGACAACTTTTTTAATCTTTCTAAATTTTTTAAGAATCTACTATTAAGGACCATATACAAGATAAGGATTCTAGACTAAAAAATGGAGTTAATTTGACATTAGAGCAATAATTGGATACAAGGCAAGAAGGACCTAACTAGACCATAAGAAGTGAGTTGTCGAGACTGAGGATCTTCTCAACCTCGACTCATATATATACTAAGTTCTAGGAAGCTTCTTGAGAAGTTTCCATGAGGCTTGAAAACAAAGCAAGCCTAAGATCCTTCTTTGGCAATTTCTTAAATCATCTAAAGCCTCCTAAAACCTTCTAAGTTTTCTTATAATATTCTAGAACTTTCTTAGGATCTATTAGAACCTTCTAGAACCTTCTTAGAATCTTTTAGAACTTTCTTAGAATTGACTGAAATCTTTTGAAATCTTTTGGAACCTTCTCAAATCTTCTTCAATTATATGTCAGTGATATCACATCCTCTTTTAGCTTTGAGGTCTCTAAGAAGCAATGTTGCAGCAAATCAGTATATGCACAAGAAATTGAAGATTTGTTATATGATGTCCGCTACATATTCTAATTTTTTTTCGTGAGGCAAATGGTTTATATGCCCCTATAGCCATTGATAGTGTCCCAAGCCTTCTACTTGTGACTAAGCATGAACTTTAGTATCTTTGTTATAGAATTGTCTTGCAAACACTCCTTCTAGATGTCCTTTATAGGCAGATTCTATCTCAAATACAATTACCAATGACCTATTACTAGGTATCTTTCGACATCTTTGTGGTTTAGATGGCTCTTCATTTTGGGATCGTCTCTATGAGCTACTTCGTTGAGATGGTATGACTGGTAAGGTGTCTATCTCTTGACTATCTATATCACATAAAGTAGACAAGACTAAAAGAATATAAATAGGCTATGGTTGTGAACTCGAACTAGTGACTTATACTATTCTAAACATGTGAAAAAACTGTCTCTTTAGAGGTTGTCTCCTCCCCTTCTTTATGAGGCGAAGAACTAAGAATCTTCATAGTGAAGCCATCTTACCAAGCTACTGTTCTTCATTTTGTCACTTTTGGTCTGGATTGATGTCGTTGATGGAACTTTTGAACCTTTCTTTGTACATTTACAAGTTTGCCAATTAATTCTCATGTGTGATTTTTGATATCATATCCATGCCAATGGACAAAATATTCAAGCCTTCTATGTCTTATCCTTGAATTTAATACATGTGCTATCTCAAATTCAATATGATTATTGACTTCAATCATAGGAGGTGATGGTTGTCTTCAACTTGGTATATTCGATTCTTTATACTTTTTCAAAAGTGAAACATAAAAGACTGGATGAATCTGACACGAATGAAGGTAAATATAAGTGATAAGTTATATTATTGATTTGTTTATGAATCACAAATAGTTCCAAGCTTCGATAGTCCAACTTATCACATGGCTTGTTGGTTTTTATATTCCACCAAAGAAGCCACACTTTGTCACCAACTTTGAATAAAAGATGTTCCTTCTTCAATTCATCCACCAATAGCTTATAACATTATTGAGTCCATTCTAGATGAGTCTTCATGGTTGCTTGAAGTTTGGCCATCTTTGTAGCAAACTCTTCTGCTGCTGGATTTGTCGACTTTGAAGGATCTATCATATCCAACTTTGGATGATGACCATACTTTAAGTAGAATAATATTTTTTGCGTAGATGCATGGATTGTGTTGTTATATACAAACTCCACCAATAACAAGTAGGAAATTCAATCGTTTTCTCGATAGTTGATGGTGCATCTCAAATATTGCTCAAAAATTTGATTAACCTTCTTCATTTGGCCATGAGTTTGAAGGTGGGAGGTAGAAGAAAGGTTGATGTCCACCTTAAGAATCTTGAAGAATGCCTTTCAAAACCTTGATATAAATTTTGGTCCACGATTCAATATAATGTCATTTGACAACTCGTGGTAATGATAGATATTATCAATAAAGAGTCTTGTTATCTCTTTACTAGTAATTGACTTCTTACAAGGTATAAAATGTGCCATCTTGGTCAATTGATCAATAACTATGAAGATAGTATCAAATGAGTTTGATGGTAGAAGATCTGTAATGAAATCCATGGAGATAGATGATCATGGTTGTCTTAGAATAGGAAAGAGTTGAAGAAGTCCATATGGCCAATGTTGAGGGTTCTTTGACCTTGAGCAAGTATCACATGATAGTACAAATTTTTTAATGTTTTTCCACATTTTAGGCTATCAAAAGTCTCTAGACAAAAGTTCTAAGGTCTTGTTGAATCCAAAATGTCTAGTTGCATAGAAGTCATGACATGTTTGAAGAATGTGTAGGTAAGTTGGCCCTTCAGGAATGAACAAATATACTTCAAAGAACAAGAGGTTGTCTTCATACTTGAATTTAGAAGACTTTTTAGAAAGGTTGTTGGCAAGTCACTTAATATTAAAAACAAGAGTGTCTATGGTTGAGACTTTACAAACCTAATCAAGAAATGATAAATCCATAGGCATTGATACATTAGTTGCTCGAAGATGAAATTACTCACATTTTAATAAGATTGTCCATTTTTGATCATATGTTGCCTCACCTTCTTTTGGTTCAAGGTAGGAATATCTTGATAATATATCTAATAATCTATGTTGGCTCTTGGATCAATACATGATACAAAAGTCAAATCATGATGAAGATATATTTCGATGCACTTAACAATAGTTTAAAACTTGGACTGATATAAAATATTTAAGATTCTTGTGATCTGAATATACAATCACTTGATGAAAGGTGCCTTCAAGAAAGTAGCACCATTCTTGGAAAGAATTAATGATGGCAAGCAATTCTATATTGTAGATTTTGTAGTTAATTTCTATTGCTGAGAATTTTTTAGAATAAAATGCAATTGGATGAAGTTTGCCATCTTCTCCATATTGTGATAAGACTACTTCCAATGCAAAGTCTGAGGCATTAATCTCCATAAAGTAGAGCTTATTAAAATCTAGATGTATCAAAATTAGAGCTATTA